CTCCGGTAGTCCCCGCCCCGTCCCCGCCCGCGCTCTTGGCCCCTCTGGGCCGGCCTCGGGGCGTGCACACGCCGCAGTGATTGGGGCAGGGTGCCCGGCCACAGCCTAGGATAGGGACAGGCAGATCGACTGGTTTCGCGTCCCTCTCTTCCCTTGCTGTGTGGTGTGGACCAAGGGACTCGATCTCCCGGACCCTCAGTTTCCCCCAAGGTGAACTAGAGACAAGAACTGCGTCTCCCTTAAGGGATTGTTTAACTCTGGATGTGACGATCCCGTTGGGGTAAAGTGCGCGCTCAGAGCGCGGCGCCGGGGAAGCGCTCCTCAAGCCGGAGAGGTTGGGAGTGGTTGCTGAGGCTTCCCGGTCCGCGGGGAGGGAAAGAGCAGGGAGGGCAGGGCTGCGGTGTCGGGGAGGACGCCCGTCCTGCTCTCGGGAGCCGGGAGAGGGCGCTGATGCCCAGTCTCGCCGATTCCGGGCCCCTGGGGACGCTTGGCAATGGTAAGAAAAGATGGGAAGGCCCTGCTTTTAATACCACCGTCCAGCACTTACTTTGCCAGGCACTGTTTAAGCACCTTGTGTGCATTACTTCACTTCCTGTCACACAAGCCTATGAGGTTGACACTATTATTACCTATTTTACACATAAGGAAGCTGAGGCCCAGAGAGGTTAAGTACCTATCTTAATGTCACACAGCTAGTAATTCAACCCTAGGCAGCATGATTCCCAAGCCCAAGTTCCTAGGCACTCCACCACTCCACCTCTCTTGAGGGCCTAGAACAGTACCTGGCACATAGTAACACTCAATATATAGTTGTTGAGTGAATAACAGAGCATACTATTTTTTTTTCTTTTTTTTTTTTGAATGGTAACTATGTGCATTTACATACTATTTCATTTAATCCTACCAACCCTTTCACTTGGCCACCATTACCCCCATTTTATAGATAAGAAAATTGAGGCTTAGAGTGGCTAAGTACTTGGTGGGCCCATGAATATCTCCTTTCACAGTTCACTGGGCCACTCCCGTGTCTAGAGCTGGATGTGCTCCCTGTCTAGCCCTTAAAGCCCAGTATCCAGTATGGTCCTCAAAGCCTCCACCTGACAACTCTCAGACAGGTGTTGGAGCTGGACTGTTCAGTAGACAGATTGAATATATGCTTCAAGTATCAACATAAAGAGCTGGTATCTGAAGTTTCAAAAAACATGTAGACTAAATCAGGACGTTGAGACTTCCTTATACTCATAGTTCATTATTGTTTTTACTTGAATTATACCTAGAGAGTGGGCACCACAACCTTTCCCAGGCTAAGGCACACAAATGACTTAATTCACCTGGGGCTTGATTCACCAGTATCTCTGGTCACCTCCCTAGTGTCACTCTCCTCACACTCTCACACCTTGTAGCCTTTGCTCTGCTAGGAATTCTCTTCGTACGCCATCATCTCCTCCTATCCAAACCCACTCATCCTTCCAGCCCCAGCCTTCCCAGATGTGCATGGATGTAGCCTCCCAGGCTTGTATCTGCACTTTCCCATCCTGTGCCAAGGTGGGTGGTGACTGAGACTCTGGAGAACAGCTGGGTTTTGTTTTTTTTTTTAAGAGAGTTTTGCCCAGGTTAGAGTATCATGGCATCAGCCTAGCTCACAGTGACTTCAAACTTCTGGGTTCAAATGATCCTCCTGCCTGAGCCTCTGGAGTAGCTGAAACTACAGGTACCTGCCACAATGCCCAGCTAGTTTTTCTGTTTTCAGTAGAGACAGGTCTCACTGTTGCTCAGGCTGGTTTCAAACTCCTGAGCTAAGCGATCCTCCCACCTCAGCCTCCCAGAGTGCTAGGTTTACCCCTTAGGAGCCACCACACCTGGCTGGGAACAGCTGGTTTGACAGGGACCTCTCTGGAGGCTGTGGACATATGGCCTGATAAGCCAGAGGGGGAGCTTCTGCAAGAGATATCACCTGGTACCCTTCCCGGGGCTGCTGTGTGTGTGTGCACATGTGTGTGCGCCTGTGTGTGAGGGAGTTCTCCTGTCCTTTCCCTTCCCTAGTCCTGCTTCAGATACAGGCTAATTGCACACATGGGGAAACAGGCCAGAGCAGCCATGACCTACCTAGGGACCTCTAGCTTAACATTACACAGCAGGTCTGGCTCCAAAGTTAGGCTTATCTGACAGCACCTTCTATTGGACCTCAGTGCTGACCAAGAGGGGCCAGGAAACCTCCCCTTCCTTCCTGCTGCATCAACATAGCCAGCTTTGTAAACACCTCATGTGAGTCCATAACAGGTACATGAGAGGACAAGATCTCCACTTTTCTGTACAACATGGCCCTGTGTCTATGGGGGATAGAGCTGAGAAAGAGTGTGAAAATGACACCTGATGAGGGGAGGTCTGTTTGGGGACAGTAGCCCTGAACACAGGCAATCTGTGGAAGTGAGTATGTACCTCCCACTTTGGGAGGGTGTAACTGTGGGGGGAGTGTTCCAAAGTGTCTTCCAGGCCCCTCTCCTTTGATCCTGCCCCTTATTCTTGGGAATGTCGCCCCAGGGTTCCCTGGGTAATTCCTTTTCCCTCGCCTATGGAGTGGGGCCTAGGGATGCTTTGAGCCTGAGGTCCCATCCCCCAGGGTGGGAAGGTGGGGCTGAGAGGGATCAGATCCTCCAGGCTGGAAGGCAGCAGCCCCTGGGGAAGTGGGCAACAGCTGTGGTTCGGGCCAGGAAACTGACACCAGGGGAGGGCCACAAATGCCCTCCAGGAAGAGCAGCGGAGAACAGCAGGCTCTCCGCTGCAGCAGGACTGGACCTTCTAGGGTGGGGTCCACCAGTCCCTGCTATAGCCTTGATGCCTTGTTCCCCTCTCTGGAAGGGACTATCATTACAATACAGCTCGAGACAACAATTAGGAAGGTCTTCCTCTCATTTTCCTTTGCCTAGAGTTAAACCCATGAGTGTAACCCCAGAAGGCCATAGGCTAGGACTGTCCTTTCCCTGGGTCCTTGGGGGAGGTGTTCTGGGTTCCAGAGAAGATGAGGTGAGCAGGGAGAAGCTCTCCCTGGCTTTGCAGTCAGGACTTAAACAGGGCTTAACAACTCAGGGGCTGTGTGACTTAGGGCAGGTTAGCTAACCTCTCTGAGCCTGTCTACTTGTCTGTAACCTGGGCATGGTCTGGGTGAGCAGGTGCTGCAGCACAGGTAGCTCTCATTCCCAGGGCCCCCTTCAAGGCTGGAGGAGGCAGCGAATCCTCACTGTACTGTGGTCCCAACCCTCCCAGTGGAACCAGAGCTCAGGCAGCGTTGGGACAAATGCAAAGCACCCCTTTCCCCTATGGGTGAAGGGCAGAGCATAAGCTGCCAACTCTGAGCAGAGTCTCCCCTCTGCCTAGGGTGAGGATGGGAGGATAGAGGGCGGGAGGAAGAAGGCACAACTGAGAGGGGAATGGGGAAGGAGAAAAGGAGGGAAGAAGAGGGATGGAGCAGTGGGAGGAAAGGGAGGCTGGGTGGGAGGGTGCTGTTATCCAGCAGCTCCATGCCCAATCCTTGCTGATTTTTTTTTTTTGCAGTTTTTGGCTGGGGTTGGGTTTGAACCTGCCACCTCTGGCATATGGGGCCAGTGCCCTACTCCTTTGAGCCACAGGCACTGCCTCTTGCTGCTTTTTTTTGACTGTGGTTGTTTCTACTGAAAAGAGAATATGAATTTCAAGGCTGGAACTTGGACTTTTTAGGCCCCAGATCCCCCAGTGCTGTTTCCTTCATAAGAAAGGCCTGTAATCCCAGCATTTTGGAAAGCCAAGAAGGTAGGAACTCCTTGAGACTGGCCTGGGCAACACAGTGAGGCTAAAAATATTAGCCAGGCATGGTGGTACATACCTATAGTCCCAGCTACTTAGGAAGGTCCATTGAGCCCAGGAGTTCAAGGTTGCAGTGAGCTGTGATTGAGCCACTGTACTCTGGCCTGGAACTTAGAGCAAGATTCCATCTCTTTTGAAAAAAAAAAAGTCAGATACACTTCATTCTGCCCCAGGCTCAGAACCAGCATTATCTCCTTTAACCCTTCTGGGAGCTCCATAAGGCTGGGCTCCTGTCACCCCAAAGACCAACCAACTTTAAAGTTACATCATCCATCCTGTTGGGAGGTAGAGGAAGGGTACTCGGAAGGCCTCCCACCCCATGCTGTAGTGCAGTGTGGGAGCTGGTTGCTTGGTTGCTTAGCCCTCCTGTGGCTAGGGACCAGTCAGGGCTACCAAAGAGCCTGCCCCTGGTCCTCAGTGATGGGCAAGGCTTGGCTCTGAACAGAAGCCTGGTATCACAGCCAGGAAGTTTGAGGCCAGCTTCACCTAATCCTGGGTGGTTTTCCCAAGAGGAGGTTTCCACGTGAGAACTCCAAAGGCAGTCAAGCTCAGGCTGTACTGGCTTACCAGCACAGTCACAGTTTGGCTGAGAAATGAGTTGTTGCCCAAATCCCTTGACCTCCCTAGTCTGTTGAGGAAGGATCTGGCAGAGCCTGACTCTGAGCCCTGAGTTCCTGCCTTGGTGGGTCTGTGATAAGCCAGCTCGACTAGGTGGGTGGCACTGCCCACACACCACTTTCTCCACACTCTCCTAACCACACATTTTTCAGAGGACAGATAGGCAGTGGGATGTCAGGGGCGGGAGTCCTGACTCAGGGCCCTTTGCCCAACCCCTATACCAAGTCCCTCATGGTGGTGGGAAGGGGGTTTCTCTAGGAACCCCCCAAAATGGGCCGTGAGCAGAAAGGAGGGCATAGGTGCAAGGCTCTGGAAACAGGCTTCAGTCCACAGAGGGTGGGCCTGGAAGGCAGACCCAGTCAGCACGGCAGAGGAGCTGCTACCTCTGCAGAAAGCCTAAATACTGAGGCCCCAGCTCCTCTGCACAGACACCCAGGGACATCCTGGGCTGGACGGCCCTATGGTGGCACACCCTGGCACCATGGGCCCACCCAGGAAAAACTAGTAACTGAAAACTGTTTAAGTTCCAAAGTTTGTGAACTATTTCCAACATTTACATTGTTTTATAATGATAAAACCTAGAGAGTGTTCAAGCTTATCCTATAAAGACAGCACTCTTGCTTGTCTACATGCTAAAGTGCTCTGTGGGAGGTAAGAAAGGACTGGCATCTCTGGAAAGTGCCCAGGAAGAGGTAACCTAACCAATGGCTTTGCAGCAGACAATGTCTCAAAGGGGAGACTGAGGCCCAGAGAGGGGAAGGGACTTGTCCATAGTCACGTGGTGATGGGCAACTTCCAAGGACCTGCCAGCCAAGGGTGACGATGGCCAAGTCAGGCCTCCCCCGCCCCCTCGTCCTCACTGGCGCAGCCCTCGGGCACTGCTCTGGCCCGAGATGCCCGCTTTTCTAAGTACTCGGCCTTAAGCTGCTCCAGTTCCCGCAGCTCAATTTCCAGCCGCTCCCGGTGGACCGACCGCAGCTGCCGCAGCTGCTTCATGGAAAAGGGGTTCATGTCATTGAAGGCGATGTTCATCAGCTTCCTGTGGGGAGGGCACAGTCGGTTCAGTGCCCAGTGCCTCACTGGGCCTGTGTTTACCAGGTCCTCCTAGACATCCCCCATGTAGCTGAGCCCCTGGCCCCTGCCCTTGGAGAGGAAGCCGTGAATAAGATGATTTTTACCCAGGGTGATTCGTGCTGGGGTAGGAGGAGGCTCAGGGCAATGGGAGCTCAGAGAAGGGCACCTAAGCCAGCAGGGAAAGGTTGGTCAGAGAAGGCTCTGGAGGAGGTGGCTTGTGAGCTGAGTTTTAAAGCATGAAAGTTTTAAAAGTAGATCAGGCAAAGAAGATGATGGTGGTGGAAGTGGCAAGGAGGCATTCAGAGTAAAAAAATCAACAAGGACAAAACCCAGAGGAAAGGTTGTTGTAGGAACCCAAATGATTTTGTCTTCCAGGATCCCAGGCCAGGAGTCTTTGAGCTAGGGGAAAGTGGGCACGAAATGAAACTGCATGGAGGCTTCAGATGACCTGCTTCAGTGACAGACAGATCACTGATGGATCTTCACATGGCAAATCCCAGGCCTCCCCCCACCCCCCGCTATGTCCTGGGGTGCATGGGTGGTGGGGTGCAGAGGGCAGTGGGGCTCTCACCGGCTGTTGCAGATGGTCTTGGTGAAAAGGCGCAGGAATTGGTAGATCTCTAGGCTGTCCTGCAGCCTCAGAATCTCCTCCTCGTTGTACTTGAAGATGGCCAGGGCATAGCGAAACACCACCTGGGGGCAAAGAAGAGGCTTGATGGGGCATGGGGGGCTAGGTGGGTAATCCCCAGGAAGAGAAAAACCCACAGTCCCAGGCAGCATGGGAGTCCCTGGACAGGTTGCACAATGTAGGGGGAGCACGGCTTGAAATCTGGGCATTCGGGTTAAGTCCCAGTTCGAGCCTGTCCTGTTGGACCTAAGGGCATTAAACTGTGTCTTTGCATGGGCTTCTGGCAGGGACAAATGAAAGGACAAGTTTGAAGGTGTCTTGGGAACTGGGGGTTAGGAACTGGAGAAGTGGGGTGGACCAGCCCCAAGCTCCAGCCCCCTACCCCAGGCTTAGTCCAAACAGGAAGAGGAGATGGAGGGGCCCAGGTGACCTTGGAGCAATGGTCAGACTAGGGATGTGCCCCCCAATCATGCTCATGCCTCCTCTCCAGGGAAAGGCAACCCCACTTTAGGATGCATCCTCAGAGGTAGAACCAGATGTCCTTCTCATGTGTGCAAAGCACTTCACAGATTACAAAGCCAAGTTCCCAGGAGACGTCAACAACCCTGACAGGTGAGCACTGCCTTCCCATTCTCCAGGGCAGGATTAAAGCCCAGAGAGGCAAAGGGACTTGCTCAGGGCCTGCCTGCTCATCCCCTAGCAGCACCCTACCTTGGTCCCCTCATACAGGAAGGCATCCCAGACCCGGAAGAGGATGTCACTGATGAGGCTGTCTGCAAAGACCACAAGGAACCAGTTGAAGGTGATGAGGGACAGGTCCACACGGTACTGCCTCAGGTGGGCCATCAGCCTGGGCAGCTTCTCTGAGAGGAGGTCCTGGAGCACCCGCTGGTCCACCTAGAAGCCAGTGAGCAAGCCTGTCACCTGCAGCCACCCTGCCTGCCCTTCCTATGCAGTCAGCCCACACATAACCCTGAAGCTGCTGTGGATAGGCCCTGCCCTGCCCAAAGCCCCAGTGCTAGGGGGAGCTGGAGGCCAGGCCCAGAGCCGAGAGGCAGGCACAGCACCACATTACTCTGCTGCTCCTGACATAGGCTAGAGCCATCTGGGCTGCAGCATCACCAGCAGGTCTGTGTGGGCTGGTAAGTCCTCAGCCCCCTTGCCCACCTAAGCTTGAGCCAAGCAGGAGCCTAGGGGCCAGGCTGATACACTTGGCAGTTCAGAGAAACTGGTCTCATTCACAGAGGTCCTGGGGAGCAGGAGCTTTGTCTCTAGTCTGTGTCAGCTGACAGATACCCACAGCTCCTTCTCTATACTTATTTTGGGCTAGACTCAAAATCCAGGCACTGGATGGATGTTTGAGGAGAGGTCCTGTGGCAGGCATGTGAGGGGCATAACATCCTGCCACTTTGTACATCAAAGAATCTTCTCAAAGCAGGATGCTGCTGGCGATGGCTGCCAGTAACCTCTCCTTGTGGCCATTGTCACACCTCCATCCTTGTTTCACTGGACCCAGCTGATTACTCCCAGCACTGGCTCCTCTCTGGCTCTAAAACACGGTTCTTCTGTGGTTCTCCTCCTACCTCTGGGATGTCCTCTTCCAGGAGTCAGCATCGGCTGTGGCAAACACCCAGCGGCTTCCCTCCTGCTTTACTCAGAAGCCTGGGCCAGCTGTGGAGGCCAAGGGTCCAGCTCAAAACCTAAGGTAACTCACTGAAGCTAAGATGCCAGTGAACCTACTCTACTGAAGGACTTATGGAGGAACCGATATGATGTCTGAAATTTACTTCAACATAACCAGAGTGGGAGCACAGGCGTAACAACGTTGGCCTCCCTGTGTTGATAATCACTAAAACCAGGTGATGAACACATGGAGGTTCATTACGCTATTTTCTCTATTTGTTTAAATGTGGGAAATTTTCCATAATAAAAGAGGAAAGGAAAGCACCCCAAACCCTGTCACATTGCTTATACAACATATCTCAACGTCATAGGTGTTAAGATGTGAAAATGAAACACCGTACATTTCCCAGCCTGCCTTGAGACTAGGGTAGCCATGAGATAGAGCTCTGACCAGTAGGATGTAAATAGAAATTGTTCCCACTGTTACCCTTCTGTTCCCCTGGCCCAGGTCATGGCTACAGTGCCAGAGGTGGTGCAGCCATCTTGTGACCACAAGGCAATGGGCATGAGGACAGTCACATGCCAGGGATGGTAGAATAGGGAGCCAGAAGAAGCCTGAGGCCTGATGGCACTGAAGAGTGCGCACTGCCTTGTCTTCATCTGAGCAAACTAATCCCCCAATGAAGCCACTGTCAGTTTGGGTTTCCCTTCCATGAGGCAAAATGAAATCCTTACTGGTGTCAACATCCATATGCTGATGACACCCAAGTCTTTTTTTTTAAATTTCAGATTGATATAAGGGTACAGATGATTAGGTTACATAGGTTACGTTGTCTGCATGTTAGGTGACGTTCAAGTTAAGCCCTTCAACCAGGAGGTGTTACATATACCACTACATTGTGCCTGATAGGTGAGTGCCCCCCAAACCCCCTCTCTCCTCCCTCCCCTCCCCTCCACTTGAATATGGTTGTTTTTCTCTTGTGCGGGCATGTAGTTGTTCACCTGGTGGTTTCATGTTAGTACTGAGGACACTGGATACTTGCTTTTCCATTCTTGTGATACTTTACTTTGGAGAATGTTCTCTGTCCTTCCAGGTAAATACAAAAGATGTAAAGTGTCCATTTTTTTTTTTTTTTATGGCTGAATAGTAAGTATTCCATGGCATACACATACCATAATTTATTTATCCATTCTTGAGTTGATGGGCACTTGGGTTGTTTCCACATCTTGGTGATTGTGAATTAAGCTGCAATAAACCTTCTAGTGCACATGTCCTTATGGTAAATTGATTTTTTTTCCCTGCTGGGTACATACCTAGTAATGGGATTGCGGGATCAAATGGAAGATCTACTTTTAGCTCTTTGTTTTTTTTTTTTTTTTGGACGGAGCCTCAAGCTATCCCCCTGGGTAGAGTGCCGTGGCATCGCAGCTCACAGCAACCTCCAACTCCTAGGCTCAAGCGAGTCTCCTGCCTCAGCTTCCCAAGTAGCTGGGACTACAGGCACCCGCCACAACGCCTGGCCATTTTTTTGGTTGCAGCCATCATTGTTGTTTGGCTGGCCCGGGCTGGGGATTTGAACCCACCACCTTAGGTGTATGTGGCTGGCGCCTTAGCCGCTTGAGCCACAGGCACCAAGCCTACTTTTAGCTCTTTGAGCATTCTCCATACTTCTTTCCAAAAAGGCTGTATTAGTTTGCAATCTCACCAACAGTGTATAAGTGTTCCCTTCTCTCTATACCCACACCAGCATCTGTATCTTTGGGATTTTGTGATGTGGGCTATTCTCACTGGGGTTAGGTGATATCTCAGATTGGTTTTGATTTGCATTTCTCTGATGATTAGAAATGATGAGCATTTTTTCATGTGTTTGTTAGCCGTTTGTCTGTCTTCTTGGGAGAAGGTTCTGTTCATGTCTCTTGCCCAGTGATAAATGGGATTGCTTGCTCTTTCCTTGCTGATTGAGTTCTCTGTAGCTTCTGGTCATTAGCCCTTTGTCAGATTCGTAACATGCGCATATCTCCTGCCATTCTGAAGGTTGTCTATTTGTTTTAATTGTTGTGTCCTTAGCTGTGGAGAGGCTTTTTAGCTTGATCAGGTCCCATTTATTTATTTTAGTTGCTGTCACAATTGCCAAGGGGGTCTTCTTCATAAAATCTTTCCCCAGGGACTCCCAAGTCTTGATTGCTCCCTCAGCTCCACATCTGAACATCCACCATCCCCTGACCTCCCAACCCACAAAGGCATCCCAGACAGAGGATCAGTATTAGACAATCAAGGTAGAAAAGGAGGAGAAAAGCATGGGTGGGCAGATACTAACTGGCTGTGGGTTTGGAGGTAGGAAGTGAGAAGGTGGCCTCTCTGTACAGCAGAGGTGCTGATGCTGCAAGACTGTGGCAGGGGAGAGCAAGAGAGGCTGGCGAGTGGGGATGGCAGGGTTCAGATGTCTGTGCATTTACAGCTCCTAACAAGCCCATGGAGAAACTTTATTCCCACTCAAAAGTGGACCAGCCTGAGGTTTAGAAAGGTGATGTCACTTGGCATGTGACACACCTGGTTAGTGGAGGGATAGGGGTCTGAACTCAGCTCTGCCTGGCTCTAGAACCAACCTATGTTCAGAGGGCAGCTGAGGAGGCAATGAGATGATGGAGGCAGCGTGCCCTCAGCAGACAATGATGAGTGTATCTGAGAGTCAGCACCATCACCTCCCATCCTCCCAGCCCATCGCCCATCCTATCTGATCTATCTTGAAATTCTTGACTGGCAAATAGCAAGTGACACCAGATTTCCTTCTCCTCCTCTCTCCTCCCCTCCCCAGGAAACCCACTGTTTCAAATGGCATGATGTCACTGCTGGAATAACAACAGTCTGGCCCAACAATTCTAAAGGGTACCAGCTCACTGGAAGTCTCCAAGAGTCCCAGAGAAGGTTATTGGCCTACAGTTCAGAGGGAGAAATGGAGGCCTAAAAGATTCCTTGGCTTGCACGAACAATTCAAGGGCACTGCCTGGATGGCCGGCAAGTTCCCTCCCTATCCCACTCACCTGGGATGCCATTAGCATCTTGCTGTAGTAATCAGCTGGCAATATGGTCTCCACAATGGCCACCAGGCACCAGAAGGCATTCTCCTCATCTTCTAGGACCAGTAGAGCAATGGCTGCCAGCCTGGAATGGAAGGGAAGGAAGCTCACTGGGTCCCGGGGGAAGCCCCTCTGTACAAGCACCAGTCCGACCCCACTTCCCACTCCCTACCCAGGCTGGTGCTTCTGACACCTGGGGTGAGACAAATACTCTTTTGGGGAGGATGACCCTGGAGATTTCCAGAGTAACAGAGATCATTTCAGAGTAGGAGCTCTGGACTTAGGTTGTCTGGGTGTGAATCTTGGTCTTGCTTCCTGGGTGACCTGGGGCAAGTTACTTGACCTCTCTGCGTCTCAGCCTCCTCATAACAATCATAAGACTGTTGTGAGATGAACACAGTTCATTTAGTGCTCAGTACAATGCTGGGAACATAGTAAGTGCCTACAAATGTAGCTAGCCTCACCTTAATAATCATAGAATTAGAGACCTTGGCAAGCACACTAACATCTCTGAGTCTCGGTTTTATGATCTCTAAAGTAAGATCAACAATATCTACCAACCCCCTCCCCAGCCCGTGAGTGAGAAGACAGATGTACAGTTCCTTGCTCACTGGCACAAACCAGGTGTGCAATACACATAGTTCTTTTTCTCTACTTCTCATCCCCTCAAAGTTATCATGAGGCTCTAATAAGATCATGAGTGAGAAAAAAAAACAACCTGTAAGGCAGATCAGGGAAGTCCTCCTGGGAGAAGTACAGTTGTCCCTCCTTCTCCCATTTAACCTGGCAGCTCTGAGCCACAGCCAATCTAGTATGTTTCCAAAAACATATTCCATGGCCTCCCAAGATGCTAAGTGAATGCAAGTTCTCACACTCAAAGTGCACATTCTAGCCCCTTCTTAAAGGCTTATGATATACACTATTTTAGTAAAGCCTCAGAAATCCTGCCATGACTAAGCCTGTGTGACTGACTCTAACTAACCTGGGTTACTCAGTGGGTCCACGGAGCACTTTTTTTTTTTTTTGAGACAGGGTTTCACTTTGTCGCCCTCTGTAGAGTGCCATGCCAGCATAGCTCACAGCAACCTCAACCTCTTGAGCTCAAGCAATCCTCTTGCCTCAGCTTCCCAAATAACTGGGACTACAAGCACCCGCCTTAACGCCCACCTAGTTTTTAAAGATGGGATCTTGCTCTTGCTCGGGCTGGTCTCGAACTCCTGAGCTCAAGTGATCCACATGCCTTGGCCTCCTAGTGTGCTAAGATTTCCAGACTTGAACCACCACATCTGGCCTCATGGAGCACTTTGTACACTGCACCCACAGAGGCCTGATGGGGCCTGGATTCCTCAGAGCACCCTTAGGGAGATGCCGCTTTACAGCATTTGGAGCCTCAGACTCCCTGTGCACTTAAAGAGCACATTTCATTGTTCAGACATTTATGCTTCTCTGGGTTCTCACCAGATTGGATTCATGATCTCTATCTTTCTTCTGAGTTCATGACTCTTAGAAACAGGTCAAATATCAAAATAAAATAAAATAATTCCCTTCTCTTTTTCCAGCAGATTAGGAAGGAATATCTCCCCACTCTGGCTCAAATATTTGTAAAAAAACCTTCCTGAGTCTGAGCTGAGTGAATAAAGAAAAGAATAGTCAAAGAACTTCTAGGAAGTGGAAGGCTCTGTCCTCTCAAGAGCTGCAGGGGAAGGAACTTCCAGAGGTCATTGAGTTTAAGGATAGCAAATGTGAGGTTTACCACCAGCCACCACATTCTTTGTGCCCAGGGAAGACATAACCAATTAATTATGGCAATATTCCCTTTGTCTATGCCCAGGGAAGATAAAACTAATCGATTATAGCACTCTTTCTCCCTGGTCTGGAGGCTGCTCAGAAAATAACTTAAGACAAGGCTCCAGGGGACTGCTTCCTACTGGTCCTCTCTGGTCTACACAAACCAAGATCCCAACACCAGAAGTGACTTGCTCAAGATCACAGGCAGTTGGTGGCAGGAAGCCAGCACTCCCAACGTCCAGCCTGGTGCTCTCTTCTGTCCCTAACCCCATTCCACTAAGCCTCAGGAGGCCCTTGGTCAGAAGTTGGCTGTCAGCATTGGCGTAGACTTCTACACACATCAGAAGCTTCCTATCTGATGCTGGTTGCTAGGGCTTACTAATTGCTTAGGGCTACAGCTAGACTACAAGCAGGCTTGCAAAGGAGGGAGTATATTGATGGGAGTGAGAAAAACCTACTTTTAAAACATTCTACTTGTCAACAACAAAAATAAATGGGACTTAATTAAACTGAAAAGCTTCTGTATAGCTAAGGAGACAACCAAAGCAAATAGACAACCTACACAATGGGAAAGGATATTTGCAAATTTTGAATCAGACAAAGAGAACTCAAATTAATCCACATGAAAAAAGCCAACAATCCCATATATCAATGGGCAAGAGACATGAATAGAACCTTCTCTAAAGAAGACAGACGAATGACTAACAAACATACAAAAAAATGCTTATCATCCCTAATTATTAGAAAAATGCAAATCAAAACCACCCTGAGATACCATCTAACCCCAGCAAGAATGGCCCATATCACAAAATCTCAAAACTGCAGATGCTGGCGTAGATGTGGAGAGAAGGGAACACTTTTACACTGCTGGTGGGACTGCAAACGAATACAACCTTTTTGGAAGGAAGTATGGAGAAACCTCATAAAGAACTTAAGCTAGACCTCCCATTTGATCCTGCAATCCCATTACTGGGCATCTACTCAGGAGGAAAAGAATCCTTTTATCATAAGGACACTTGCACTAGACTGTTTATTGCAGCTCAATTTACAATCGCCAAAATGTGGAAACAGCCTAAATGCCCACCAACCCAGGAATGGATTAACAAGCTATGGTATATGTACACCATGGAATACTATTCAGCCATTAAAAATGGGGACTATACAGCCTTTGTATTAACCTGGGTGGAAGTGGAACACATTATTTTTAGTAAAGCATCACAAGAATGGAGAAGCATGAATCTTATGTATTCAATTTTGATATGAGGACAATTAATGACAATTAATGACACGCTGGGGATTGGGAAAGGGGAGAGCAGAGAGAGAAAGAAGGAGGTGGGGGTGGGGTCTTGGTGCATGACACACCTTTTGGGGGCAAGACACAATTGTAAGAGGCACTAAAAAGAAATTAAAATAAATAAACAAATAAATTAAAAGAATACACAACCCTAAAATTAAAAAAAAGCATTCTACTTGTTTTTTCAGGGAAATAGCTTTAAAAGTTTTGCTTTAACTTAGCATTAGATCATCACTGTAGGGCTCAGTGCCTGTGGCTCAAGTGGCTAAGGCGCCAGCCACATACATCTAAGGTGGCGGGTTCGAATCTAGCCTGGGCCTGCCAAACAACAATGACGGCTGCAACCAAAAAATAGATGGGTGTTGTGGCGGGCGCCTGTGGTCCCAGCTACTTGGGAGGCGGAGGCAGGAGACTCCCATGATCCCACGAGTTGGAGATTGCTGTGAGCTATGATGCTACCGCACTCTACCCAGGGGGACAGCTTAAGGCTCTGTTTACCCCCACCCCCCAAAAAGATCATCACTGTAACTGTCATTGTCTAAACACTGGATTTGTTGCCCTAGAAGCAGAATCTGTCATCTAGACACCATACCTGCAGTTCTAATGGCTACCACTAGATGGCAACTGAGACAAGCTCAGGGAGCCTGCAGGCTGGGTTTGGGGCCAACAAACCACACATCTGAACAGGCTTTCTATTGCAAATAACTTTCTATTTTAAGCAATCATATATTTACATAAATGTCAGTTATCTGTGCTTGCACATCAACTTTAAGTAAAAAATAGCATTTAGGCTCGGCGCCTATAGCTCAACTGGCTAAGGCGCCAGCCACGTACACCTAAGGTGGCGGGTCTGAATCCCCAGCCTGGACCCGCC